AAAGCTACATCTTCATCCTAGTGAAATCTTTTATCTATATTTGACTTCATTGTATAGAAACCATCAATGTCTTCATAAAAGGCGTCGGAAGAAAAGAAAAAAAGCCCAGACCCTACGTTCCATTCCCTGCAGTTGCCCATCTTTAATAAACATTACAGAATGCTACAGTATTTTGTCCTCCTCCCAGCATGCATTTGATCTAGACACTAGGAAATCCACTGATGATTTATCAGTTTGCCAAGAAAACACTGATGCCTCTTTCTCAGCCTGCCTGTGCATCCATCTATTAGAGTCACCAAAGATCTAAAGTGAACTAGATTCTTTCTGCAGCAGAAGCCAGTCGCTAGAAGGCCTGGGTGCCAGCTGATGGGAAGCTGCTAATTAAGAGGGCTAGAGAGCCAGTGGGGCACCTGACGAAACACGGGCACCTGGGTTTCACATGAGGGGGGCTGGGTGTCCATCACACTTCGCCTGTGTTGCACTGAGATCTCTGCAGTCAGCTCTGTACTGTGCCATGTAGCTCTGTTTTCATGCATGCATTTTCAAACACAGCTCACGTAAGACTCACGCTCTTATTGTTGTGCTTCCTCAGTAAGCCACTGCCATCACAGAGGGAGATGAAATTGTGTTGTATGATAAAAAATATAGATGTCAAGGTGCATTTTTCTTAAAACACACTTCAAGACATCTGTAACAAAGTGAATAGACACAATCAATCTTTATGCACAAAGGATTCAAACTCCCACATGCAGAACCTAACGCTGCTCCTCTCGCTATTGTTCACAGAGTCTTCTTTGCTGTAGGGTCAAAATGTCTTTAACTAATCTAAATGGCTCTGACTTAGGGGACAGTATGAGGTCTGCCATGAGTTCTGTCATTACACTTTCATGCACCAGAGGCTGATATAGCTCCCGACCACCATTGAACCTCCCCGTATTGCCATCCAATCCGACACCACAGACGCAGTAAACCTAAGTGAACCGCAGTTTCGAAAGTCGACAGCAATAACCACTGCAGAATTGCTTTTAATCAACGTCTGAAATGAGGGTGACTTGAAGCGTCGCCCCATGCTGATTAAATGTAATTGTTTAATTGCCAAGTGCTGGGAACCCATCCTAAGAGGATTCCAATGGAATTATTTAATCTCTAGTCAGGAGGTGCACTGCAGGAAAAAAAGAGGAGGAAAAACGAAAGAAGTGAAAAGGCCAAAATCAAGCAGAAATAGTCTTTTTTTTTTTTTTTCAGCATGTCCCTGATGAAATATTAACTGTGGTTTACATTTAGTTTGCTCAGAGAGTGAACAGCCTGTGCTGGAACTTCAGCTTCTAAAGGGGTCATGGTTTTGACCTTTTTCTGTGCAAAGTGGTTTGATCTTGTCTGCTGTTTTTTTTTTCCACGTTTCAACATTATTCTGGAGTAGTGTAAAATATTGCTATTTTCTGTAAAATTCCAAGCATGTGAATGAGTTAGTACCATGTCAGTAAAAGGCAGCTGCTCCAATATAACTGCATATAAGGTATTATTAAATTAGATTTCAGCAAATCCCAAGGTAAATTGATACTTCAGGGTTTTTGCAGCAATGCTCTGTTACAAGTTTATAAGTGCTAATAGTAAATAACTAACTAATATTCAGAAACCTCTGTTTCCATTTGGATTTATTGTCAACCCTGATTAGTTTTTCATGAAAGCTGAAGCTAAAATCTAGTTTGAGAAAGGGCAGAAAACGATAAAAACATTTAACATCTCAGAAAAGTTCAATTAAAAAGAAAAAAAAAACACATCACTTACACTAATAAAAAATATACCATTCTTAAACTGAATGATTTTTAATTTTTATTTATTTTAGTGATGGTACAGGTAAGAATGTTAGCACTTTTTGACACATGTCAGGTCATCACTGAAGATAAAAAAAAAAAGCCAGGAACTTATTTTCATTGTAGTCCTGCGAACCTTTAGACCAACACCATGTTTACATTCCAAGGTAATTTACACAACTAATGAATATCTAAATAAGAAATGATGGCAAAGGGTGTTTATTTAGAAACATTTAGATAGTTTCGTGTTGCAAAGGTAACAGATATTACTTTCAAAGTAACTTGAACCCCATTTCTTTCCCAAGTTGATGTTTACTGTGAACCTTTTTGTTTACATTTTTAAATACACAGAGTTCTTGTCTGATTGGCTGCTTTAGCTAATAAAAAAGTGTACTGAAATGTTTTTATATTATTCAAAATAAAGCATTAACCAGAGGTTAAACCCTTCTATTCTTATATGTTGTGTTCTCAGTATGGGTTTTATACAGGAGGATCACTTGAGATGCCCAGCCCCCTTCCCCTAATTCCTGTGTATGTAATCCTTTATAGGTCTTCCTTGTAAATAGTGCAAATGTGATAACAGATTCTATGTTTATAAAAGGGTAATTGTGTGTCTGCTGTGACAGCTTTTCTCTCTTCAGATACAAGTTGGCTAAATATCATGCCATGTGTAATGGTCCAGTTGACGTACCTTGGTCTTTTATCTCTGGGACCAGCCTACCAAAACCCAGATCCATCCAACCAGTCTGAATTTGTACTAAATAAAGACACAGAGATTGTTATCTTCTCGTGGTACGATTTAAATTCCAACAAAATGCTAAACAAACACACAAATCTATTTAGCAGTTTTAACAAATTATGTACACTGCCTTTGGTCACTGGGCATTATACGCTGGAATTTAGCAGTTGTTTTCTGTTTGAGTTCTCAGCTCTAAAAATCATTGCGTTTGATCACAGGCTACTCCTAAGAACAGCAGGATGAAGAAACAGGCAAACTTTTACTTCTTTCCACATTTTAATTATTATCTCCCATTGGTGTTTCACTTGCTTTGACCAATTTAAGCTGGCATGATCACCGCCACGGCCTCAGTCAGCAGCCAATAAGACTGGCACATATGCCATGACATTTCAATCTATCACCAAAATCAATAGCAGTATCCCCCACTAATATCACTGCACACAGAGCACACTGAGTGCTCTTGCCATCTCATTTGAGAGTAAACCCAGCCTCGCCATTCTGCTGATGATTGCAGTTCTGTCAACCCCAGGGAAATGTGTCTGCATCCCTGCGGTCAGAGTTGCACTGCTGTCCCCTGCAACCACGCTGTGGGCCGAGTGAGCGTTGGGGGGAGAAGAGCAGAGGCCTTCTTCCCTGCAGCTGTGCCCTTATTCCCAGCACCTGACCAGGGGGCCAGATGTGCACACAGGCAACATCAACAATTTGAGCGATGCAAGTCCCCTGTGAGACCCAGGCACCTGCAAATACATCTTCAGCATTTGACACAATGGCGTGATTACAGGTCTAACAAGTATGCATCTGAAGACAAGAACATTTAAACGTATCAAATAAAGCTTACATAAAAAGAGTTACTGGAAAACGGTTTTAGACTCTCACCTTTTCATGCACACATAAAAAAAATGTCTGCATTTGACACAGAGCCAGAAACTAAGGTACAATGTTCTTATTCACAGTGAAGCACAGCATCAGTTTTATTGTTTTCATTCCAGGCTTTTCACAGAAATGATCAGTTACAGTTGGAGGTAAGTATGTTCATGAAAATCTTCACTAGCATTCAGTTTAGACAAAATATATGATTTATTTTATAACTGACTTTCTTTCTTTACAACCAGACGGAAAACATTTGAGCTAATACTGAATATTGTGTTTTCAAAGGATAGAAAATAAGCTCTAAGTTGCAAAATGTTATATTTAATAATTACATCAGCTGAAGCTATAAGGACAAGCCACATAAAACATATACAACTAGAGAGGTTAAGGTTGAATGTTGGAGAGAAAAAGCCAGATACATGTGACCCGTGTGAAATTTAAAAAAATAACAGTTTTTCAATAACATCTGTATACAATAACAGCAAAGGTTAACTGATAAAGCTGATAACCGTTTACATTTTAAGAGCTTACTTTAAAACGTGCATTATTGCACCGAAAAAAGGGTTACTGGTGACATCTTGTGGTGAAAGACAATAATCGCACCCACCCCAAAATCTAATCTGAGTACATTTCATTTGCTTTCAAACTAAATATCATTTTATAAAACGATATTTAGTTTTATAAAAAATCATTTTATACATAAAGTTATTATAGAGGGCATTGAAGTCTTTTTCATGTCTTTTACGTGACAAACACAAGCTTTTACAAAGTTATTCAAGGGTTTATGTTATAAATTATCATAAACTAACACATTATTGGGATTTAGAAATAAAATTATTTCTGCTCTTATTAAAAAAGACATGAATTGTGCCTGGGAAAAGAAGTACTCTAAGTACAACTTTTATTTGCATGCAAAACAATATGGGGATAAACAAACTCTGCCCATCAGCGTAAAGAAACATAATTGCAATATAGAGATGTGGTGAGAGTTAATGGTAAGATAGATAAAAGTAAAAACAGAGCAACCCTGGAAGAAAAACTTTTTGCTGTAAAAGATTTGAGACCATTCTCCTGCAGGACATAAACCCTAAATCTGGAGCAAAAGCTTTGTTGGAGTGCCTTAAATGAAAGTGTATCCCTGGGTTTGAAGGGCCTAGTCAAAGTTCATGACTAATTCTAAATGAGGATATGTGACAGGACCTGAAATACACTTTTACAACACCCAGCTTTAGCTTTCATTTTAGTAGGTAATTCTACAAACTACACTAATATGTGAAACCTTGTGCTATTCATATCATCGATAAAATAAATTTGAATAATGATAATAATAAATAAAATGCATTGAAGCTTGTACTGAAGTTGTTTGGTGACAAAAAGAAAAAAGTCAAATCCCTTTATGACAGCAGAGGGTGATATTGGCCTATTATCACCCAGTTTCCAAAAGCCTTAATGGAGACGATAATATTTTAAAGCATTTGAAAAATATATATATGAAATATATATGGATATATACTGTATGGATTCATAAAGAGTAAATTCATTGTTTGTATTTATACCTCATACCGCCAACTTTTTTTTTACTATATCTACAGAAAGTTATTTTACGATTAAAGATCTTCTTTACAATTGATGAACACCTAGTTTCATTTCCACGTTCTGGTGAATAAATAATAATACAATTTTTGCAAATATACACTTGAGATATATAAAATATAAATAAAACTGACAAGCAAGAAACAACATGCTTAGATGCAAAATTCATTTAAACACTAAAAACATAGTTGGAGGCTATCAATTATGATCCTCCTGGCAAAGTGTTGGATTAGTTTAAGCTGCTTTCGATCAATTGACTTGGCACATTGTTCAATGGTGTCTTATTATCTCTAGCCAGGGCGCAGGACAGACGAAGGCGGAGTTGTGTACCGTTTTGGGCAGAGAATCTTGCTGAAGGCCCTGCGGAAGCTACTGTGGCACAGAGGGTACAGGAATGGGTTAATAGCTGAGTTAAGCCACAGGAGCCAGAAGGTGACCTCATACCAGTGATGCTGGATGCATCGCCCTCTGCAGGCAGCACGGATGATCATCAGTAGGGTGTATGGAGCCCAGCAGATGGCAAACACGCATACTATGATGGCCAGGGACTTAGCAATTTTCTTATCCCTGGACAGACGGCTAGGCTGGGCAGCCCTGCTGGCCAAGGGATCCTGTTTACCCAAACAAGGGGAGGAGGTCTGAGAGTGGATGGAGCCTCTTCCAGGCAGTTTTATCCCAAATCCCCAGTTGTGGGACACAGGGATTCCTTCCCCCTGGGCAGCGGGAGGTTCCCTTGCCTGAAGCTGATGGTGAAGCTGATGCTCCCTATGGAGGCGCCTCCTCCTACGTATACTGAGGTAAATGCTGAGGTTGAAGAAAGCAACAGAGATGAAAGGAGAGAAAAACTCCAACATAGAAGCACTCAGCAGAAAGTACCAAGAATAATAGAACTCTGCGAAGCACTCATCCTTGGGTACGCGGCTTCTGCCGACCACCAGCTCCCAGAATATGATCGCTGGCCCATACAGGACAAAGGCCAGCACCCAGACAGCAATCATCTTGAATATGGCTTGATGAGTCAAGCTCTGTCTGGCTCTGTAACTTACCTGCAGGAAAAATAAGCATATATGAGAAAATTACTGGGGAAAAGCTACAATTAGTCTCACTGCTCCCGAATGCTAAAATATTTACCGATGCAAATATTTTGTAACCATAACAACAGTAATACATGTAGGAATTTAAATAACTTGGTTTATATATAGGGGTAATTCAACTGTTTTTCAATTTATTACAATATCTGCTCCTGTAAAGGCATGTTAGTCAGATTAAAAGTACTCTGTATAATAAATGGGAAGTAGGTATTAGACAAAATTTTCTTTATGCCAACATTTATGTATAAAAATGTTATTTTTGTTAATCCTAAGAGTAATGTTTTCATTAGCATGGAAAAACATCATATTTTACTATAATATTCCAATTTGCAGAATACTGCCGTATATCAATGTAAAAACATAATAAATGTATCAGAGTTGTTGTGTTTCACAAAACCTTAAAATATTACTGGCACAGTGTCAACAGTTATGGATAAGAAAAAACAATATTAAGGGATATAAGAGAAAGGAAAATATGAAAAAAGATTAGACACCAATCAAATGAGATTAGAAGTAAGACAATCGAATGCCTAATGTTTTGATTTGAGTAACTTTCCTACTTAATGACATATTAAACAAATCTCCCTAAAACAGCCATGAGGCAGTCGACTCTTGATTAATAAATATTGGCCAAGTTTTATCAGCACAAATCAGGTCCAGTAATCCAACATCATGTAATGCATAAAAGTGTGTGAATGAGTATTAAGTCAATGAAGCGCGTCTCGGGAGCACTTGTCTCAATCAATGTCACATCCTGTAGCCCTGTCTGCTTCCCTGCTCAGTGGACAACGTGCTTTAGAGCCTCTCCAGCTCCTCTGGAAATATGTTACTGTTGTTCTTTCTAATTAGCTTTAGTTCAGAGAAGATTAAACCTGGATCCACTTGTGGTCGTTCAAATTAGTTACCTGATTGCATGTGAATCATCTGCCCAAACCTGTAACTTGGAAGTTCAGTGCCCTAAATAAGTATTCACACCCCCTGAGCTTTTCCCAATTTTCAGCTTTACAAAAAATCTCTATGTGTCTTATGCTTATTAAATAAGATATGCCATGTTAAAGTGGTGTTTAAAGACAGAAAAGACATTTCACAGCATTTCACAACAATAGATCACACATGCACAGTGCTTGGGTCTATAGAAGGGTAAAAGTACAGTAACTTAAATAAAATAAAATGTACTCAATTAAAAATAGAGTTACCAGTGCAAACTGTTATGCTTATAAAAGTAAAAATTACATACCCAAAATCAAACTTTAAGTAAAAATGTCCTTGGTTACATTTTTGCAAATAGAAAGAAAAACCTGAGGCAATTTTCTTAAAGAAAAAGCAGCACATAAATGAAACATGTTAACCAGTTTATTTACGTTGCTATAATTTACAATGTCCATTTTCTCAAGGTACTTTACATATGACATAAACTTTTGGGAGGTATTATGTAAAGCTGCTGTCTATAGGGTGCTCTAAGGCTGATAATTTCCCCCATCTCAGCATCCTTATCTCTAATATCCAACCCTGTGCATCCTTCCCCACATCTATGAAGTTTCTCTGTGGTTTTCTGGGAATCTGATGTTTCTGATCTCCATCCTATCCTTTGTCTCTTTTAAAATGTTTTATTTTAGACTTCGACTTAGACTTCCTTTATTGTCATTGCACAAAAAACACAAGGTGAATCTTGACAACGAAATGTCAATTACTTGGCTACCAGTGTAACAGAGCTAAGACCTTATTCCTGCACAATAAATATGTTTTCTATGAGTAAGAGCTAGCTATATACAGGGTAAGAGTATATATATACATATATATTGCACTGAGTTATTGAAGAAGTAATATCAATATATTAAATATTGCACTGAGTTATTGAATATTGCACTGAAGAGTTATTGAAAATGAAACATTAAATTGAAGACAAAACTAAACTAAGGTGCGTGTATTGTCCATGTCCACGGGGGGAGGAGTGTTATGTGGCGTTAAACACTTAAGTAAAAACCTAATCCAATGTTTTCAGTATTAGCCAAAATGAATTATAATGATACGCAGCAGATGAGACTAATATTAATAAATTGTTTCGTTACAATATAATTTAGTATGTTTACATGGTCATGGTTTGTTAATTTATCTAGTTACTTTTGGCCCCTGGTAAAAGAGCATGTAATTAGAAGGTCTGTAACCATTCAAGGCAAGTAGAGCACGAATTTTACAGTGCATATTGGTAAATAAAAGATAAGGAGAATCATCAATCAAAAACTGAAAAAAGAATGGCAGAAAAGGTGAGGGAAGAAAAAGAGATGGCTTCTAGGATCAAAAGGCTGGAGGATAATGGGAAGAAGGAGAGGAAAGGAGGAAAGATTAATGACAAGATTTACACATGACAATTAGACATAAAAGGTCGACTCTATTCTTTTCAAAATACAAAAGCATAATCCATGGAAGTGTGACCCCTGAGGGAAGAATTGAACAATGGTAAAATGAGCTGTACCTGTAGGGCACTTTATTCAGACAGCCATTCACACGCTGACATTAGCCATGTTGTGTCTTCATGTCTAATATTTCTACAACTAAATAAAAACAAACCACGCCCCTCCATTTATGGCCAAGAACATTCTTTTTTAATTTTTTTAAATGTTGACAAAGAAATACTATTTTAAATCTAAATCTTGTCCTAATAATTTCTTTTGATAATGTACTGGCAGCATTGGGAAGGTACCATTCCTTCTAAATTATTATGCCGCTAACACAGCAGCTTTATAGTTTATCAACATTCTATACATAAGACTCCATGCGCTGCAGGTACAGACAGAAAAAATACAGAACTTTATTTTCCTCTCTGTCCTCGGCCCTGCAGCGGCTCCGCCTCTTTAACTCTACGGTATGTCAGCTCTCACCAAGCTGCAGGAATATGGAAAGCCAAGATGTTCAAAAACACATGACTTACTTAATGACTGACACGTAGACGTGACTAACGTGTGTTTTGCATGTGTTGTCAACATGTAGTTGACAAATTGAGAGCATGTAAAGAACACGTCAACTATATATATACACGAATTAATGGGTGAGGGGCCCTTTTTTTTCCAGTCTTAGCCAAGGCTGTCGGCTGGCCCGCTGTTCGCCATTAACGCCTATTTAACACAACAATGACACAATTTACTCCCTGATCAAACCAAAAAACAATTACAGACATCTTGTTTGTGTTACCAAGACTTATATTGTCAACTTTTATGCTTTTAACAAAGCAGGATATTTAACAAGTATTAATTTTAACAGAAAGACCCGGTCCAGAACACAATGGAATTGTTAAACATTTTTGTACAAATTTTTCTTTAGTTGATATCAGATGAATGCTGTTGAAAACAATGCATATTTATGTATTAAATGACCCTTTTGCCTTTCTCATGGTTTTGGTTTTGTTCAAGTTTTATCTCTGAGTTTTAATTGGTCTTATTTCCATTCTTGTGTTTTAGGTGTTTTCTTGCCTCTTTTCACACCTGCTCCCAATCTGCTAATTAGCCTGGTCTTTGTTTCTCTCATATATTCTCCTCCTTTTCAGTCACTCTTTGCTGGTTTGTCGTCATTACTTTGTCCCTTTCTTGTTGGGAGTATTCCTGGTTTTCAGCATTTTTGGATTATTGTGGAATTATGTTTTGGATATTTGCTTCTGTTGAACTTTTGGTTATTTAAACCTTCAAGTAACTACCTTAAGCTTTTGTGTCTGCATTTTGGTCCTGTCAAACCTCCACCCCCATTGTGACAGCCTTACTATCATCAGCTCATAAAATCAAAAAGAGCAAAATTAGGATGTGAATTAATGTTTCACATAATTTGGAAACAGCATTTTGTTTCCAAATTGTCTAGTCAATAATTGTATAATGGAACTTTTAAAAAAAGTGCAGAGCTAGCCTGAAAGGGTCCTATTTGGCCTGATTTTATACCCTCCCTATGATACACATGCCCAATACAGAATTCGAACAAAGACAGAGACAAAGGCCTAGTGATCATCAGAGCCACCATCAAAGATGAAACAGTCAAGCTCCAAGAACATATAAGGAAGGTGAACCAGAAGACTGAAGCTACAGTATCAATTAATATCTAAGGCACTGAAAGCTCGAAAAGAAAAAACTGATGGAACCAACATGGGAGTAAAACCCCCTGTATGGGATGTGCCACTGACAGTAGGCCTGGAAGATATGGCTTAATATCAAATTTTAATTCTGTCATAAACAGGAAATGCAATTACTCACTTTGATCGACTGATTGCACAACCCGTAACAATAGATAGCTGAAGTGGCTGATATCACAAAATCCTACCAATGGCTAGAGAGGGCCAGGCTGCAGGGGCAGCACTGATTATGGCAGCACAGGGGCAGGCCTTGAGCGCCAGAGCAATAGAGGCCCACACCTACCAAACCAGGCAAGATCTCAGGTGCAAGCTATGCAAAGAGGCCCTAGAAACAATCCAGCATCTCACAGCAGGGCGGGAGATATTGGCAGGAAAAGAACACATGGAATGTCATGGCCAAATAGCTGGTATAGTGTACAGAACAATGTGTGCAGAATACAAGCTGGATACTCTCAGGTCATAATCGGAGCCATCCCCCAAGGTGGGGGAGAAGGACAGAGCTAAGATCCTGTGGGACTTCCAGAAACGAACAGACAAAATGCTTGTAGCCAACCAACAGGACAGGTTTATCACTGATCATATGTAGAGGACCCGTGCTTGAGATGCGGAGTCACTCAGCCCAGTACAAAGAAGGACTGTCTCACAAGTTCTATATAATAATTGGTTTGCACTTTTGTCATTACAATAGCTGAAACTGAATGCCAGGTAGTATAAAGCTAAATAAAGACAGTTAGACTGAAATATAAGTCAACTGCAATGAATACAATGTACTCATAATAACCTTTTATCAACCTTAATGTCCTGATTCTGCCCTTTGTGGAATTTTTTCATTTAAATTTCTTTT